TTTAGTCTAGGGATGTGACCAGTGGTGAAATGGCTTATTCTAATGTCTCATACGTTTGAAATTCTCTATTGCAGTGTTTGTGAGCCCATGTCAGACTTGTTGAAAGTTGAAATACTTGTTTCATTCTCAGAAACAGTCTTATTTCCCAGCGAGCAACCTACTTACAATTTGAGGAAATAGGGGTCAGTCTATAGGAGATATTACAGTAATGATTAAGATAGGTAATTCTCCACTTTTAAGTTTGGGTTCTGAGGTCATAATGAAAACAGGGGTGTTAGCTCATTTCCTTTGGGAAATTGCCACTTGGGTCTCTATTATCACCCTATAAATTGTATGTTCTTTATTAAGATTCATCTTTTCATAGTAGCTTTCAGCTCTTCTCTTGCCTCCCCCTCTGCTTTCTCCTTGCCGTACAGTAATAGGTAAATCTGAAATACATTTCAACTTTCTCTATTAAGGATTCTATCAAACCTCATGAAAGGTGATCACTATGTTAGATATTACACAGTGCCGTTGTGCTTAAAACTGAATATTGCAATTTTGCTTGTCAGTGAAATATAGAAATCGTAGTCCCCCCCCCCGCCCCAAACTACAGTGTTATTGAATCAAAATAGATGATCATGGTAGTAGTTACCTTGCTACAGTACCGGTATATAGAGAAATACATTTTGTGTTTAGAAAGTATTACACTTTGAAAGAGCACAATACTGAATAAAAACCAGTTCAGTAATACAAATATTTGATCACCAAACTATTTAAAAAGGTTAGTTGAAAATAACTTACTGTTATTGATATTCTTTTTTTTTTTTTTTTTTTTTGCGGTACGCGGGCCTCTCACTGTTGTGGCCTCTCCCGTTGCGGAGCACAGGCTCCGGATGCGCAGGCTCAGCGGCCATGGCTCACGGGCCCAGCCGCTCCGTGGCACGTGGGATCTTCCTGGACCGGGGCACAAACCCGTGTCCTCTGCATCGGCAGGAGGACTCTCAACCACTGCGCCACCAGGGAAGCCCTTATTGATATATTTGACTAACATTTTCAGACATTTGCTATGGCCCATTTGTGTTCAGGTTCTAAAATATGTCTTGTGAACGTTATTTTGCATAAATGTATTTTCAGAATTCCATCTCCGAAAAGCAAAGTGAAGTAGTTTTACAAAGCCTGCCTAATTAAAAACATTTCTTATTTATTCTATTTAGGTTATGCTTTCCTTAATGAATTTATTTATTCTTTAAGATTTAATAACGCTTCCAAGAATGTTTATTATCCAGCATGGGACTGTTGGGGAACTATAAAAATTGGTATAAAACTGTATTATTGTAATTATAATAACACTTGTTGTGGTGGAGAATGAGAGGAAAACAGTGAGAAAGCATTATTATTATTATTATTATTATTATTATTTGGCGGTACGCGGGCCTCTCACTGCTGTGGCCTCTCCCGTTGCGGAGCACAGGCTCCGGACGCGCAGGCTCAGCGGCCATGGCTCACGGGCCCAGCCGCTCCGCGGCATGTGGGATCTTCCCAGACCGGGGCACGAACCCGTGTCCCCTGCATCGGCAGGCGGACTCTCAACCACTGCACCACCAGGGAAGCCCGAGAAAGCATTATTTTAATGCTAATAGACTGAAATAAGACCATGGCTCAGAGGGGTTTTTTAGGCTTTCTTAATGGCTATAAAGTTTGTTCTCTTAAGTGATAATGGTATTTGAAAGTCTTACGTATCTATTAAGTTTATCAAATATGTCTCTATAGTGCTTTTTTCTCCTAAAATATATATGAATTATAGTAAACTGGTTTGCATCAAACCCAATAGAACTCTAGCCATGAGCACTGCTTATTATCAGGAACTCACCAGTAAAGGAAGAGAATAAAATGAATGTATTGCATATTTAGGCTACTGCATGTAAAAGTATCAGTTAAGAGCAGGGAATTTGGAGTTATACAGACCTGGGTTATACCATTAATATGGTTATCAATGTATAGATGCAATCCATTTCTGTACAAAATCTGTTGGAGGAGAGTCCTCCCCCACTGTCTCTTTTTAGCTTTATATCCTAAAATACAGTTAATTCATCTGTGTATTCATGCAAATATGGAATTTCCTGTATGGATATTCTTTTGTAGTTCTGTTTGGGAACAGAGAGGTAACGTTAAAAAAACAAACAGAAATTTGTACAAGTTTTTGGAGAAATCAGATCTTTAAATAAAACGGAAACAGTGACATTAAGTGTGAATCCACTTGGTAAATACTGAATGAAAAAACTAGTTACTGTTCAGAAGGATTTGGCCACTTAATTTTTAACACTTTGAGTAAATAGCCACATGAGTTAAATTACTTTATGTGAGTTTCCCTCAAGATGAGACAAACTTATTTTACTTTGGGCTACTGACCTGCTGTACTGATTTAGTATTTGAGATCTAAGCAGAAGAGATGATTGTAGTGAACTTATTTTTGGCCTGGGGTGTAAGCTGCAGAAGATGTACTTAGATTTGATATAATCTTTTTCTTTCCCTTTTTCTATTTGCCCCAGTGTGTGGCTTCACAGTCTCCAACGTAGTTGCTTGGTCTACCAACTGTAGACCAAGTTGGAATCCTTTAATACATGATCGGTGGTGATATGAATAACTGACAACACTTCATTGAGCCTACAACTGTTTCTGTGTCCTGATGGTTAGTGCCTAAAGCTTATCTAATCAGACCTGTGTAACACCAGTTAACATTGCCCATTTAGGTAGTCTGTATGGCTTTCAGGTTTTGCTGTTGGAAAGCTTGGAGAGGAAAGCATCTCTTTTTCTGGATGACAAGGATATGAAAAATGATAATGGCAATGGAATGCTAGTTATCCTTTTTAAAGAATTTGAAGAGATCACAATTAAAAACTTAAGTAGACAGCAAAAAGTGTTTTTCTACTTGACGTCTTAAAAAGAGAAATTGGAAATGTCTTCCTGTATTCTACTTTTTTGCTTAATTGCTGAAAATAATTATAATGATGATGGCTATCATATTTTGACTCTTTTTTTAATGCGCCAGACTTTGAGATGAATACTTTACCTACCATTTTCATTTATTCTTCACTTCATTCTAACACTATAGATTATTTTTGTTTTGACTATTTTATAGATGGATGTGTTACTTTTACCTTTCTGAATCTCATTCTCCTCTTCTCTATAAATAAAGGGATAGGCAGAGTTGGAGATTTTAACTAAGTCTGTTTTTCTTCAAAGTTCTTGATCTTAATACTACTCCTACATGCAGTAGCCTAAATATGCAATAAATTCATTTTATTTGGTCCCATTCCTGGTGAGTTTCTGATAATGAGCGGTCACCGTAGCTTGTCTTCTACTCAATTTGATGGGAACTAGTTTACTTTAAGACATCGTTTGACTGATGTTGTTATGGTTTATACCCTGGGCAGAAACTATTGTCAGAGGTTATAGAGGGCAGCAAAGAAGGAACTATGTATACTTCTGAGAGAAGGTAAACCCTGGTTTTCTGAGTGTGCGCAAATATAGAAGGGAAGACCAACCAATAAGACAATGAGCCTTAATAATCTGATTATATCAGCTAGAGTGACTGTCTTACCCAGTGCCTTCATAGTGTCACATCCTTCCGTAGCGCCCCATTGCCTTCATGATAAAACCTGTGGCTCCTTTTCTTTGAACCGTTGCCTGCTTGCCTATGAGTAACAACAGTGATGGTCGTAATAGTTGAAATAACCAACAATTATGGACCTTACATGAGTGGTTGCAGATTCCGACAGTTTTTACCATCTCAACCTTTTGGTTCCTCACAACATACAAAGGTAATAAATGTACTAACTGATCGTGGCAATACTCTTTCATTAGTGAGTTTTTAGGATTTGGGGATATTTGCATATATTTTCTAATTTAATTCTTAAAACAACCCTCAACATTGTTTCATAATTGAGTAAACTGAGTCTTAGAGACATTAAGTAACTTGCCCAGTATCACACAGCTGGGCAAGGGATGAAGACTTGATTAAAACCTGGGTCTGTGATTCTAAACCTGGTGTGCTGAACCAGAAAACCGTTAGAGCCGTATCGGAGATTGTCTGACTTAATTCTCTAATTTCAAACAAAACTTGATCACAAACAGAGAATGCCAAGCTGTGGCCTGAAGATGTGTACTCTTTGATTTATTAAATGCATTTGATTTGGGGGCTGACTTTTTTTTTCTTTTTGTTGGTTGGGTAGGGGAGCATTCCTGTTGGCTGAGGGCGCCTTCTCTATCACTGGGCTGCTTCACACATCCAGCTTTCCCACCAGTCCTGTAAAGATATTTGAGTTTATGACTTTGGTCTCAAAGGTCAAGAGCAAACAGCTCACTCTTTCCTTGAGTGTTTTGAGAAACAAAGATTCCACAACCACTTTCCTCTGGGATGTTCTGTTACTCTGCCAACATTGAAAAGATACTGCTTACTTTTAGTTTTAATCCATTTCCTCCTCCCTTGCCCAGCCCCACTGAATACATAGAACAACTGCTCAGAAAACCGTTGATTTCCAAGAATACAGTTCTTCAATACTCCCTTTGCATCTTGTCTTTAATAAACCTTTCCCCCACGTAAACCAGCCTTCCCTTTGACATCTCAGATGGCTGACAGGTAGTTAACTCCTCTGATTGGCAGATTGGTGTCTCTGCCACATGGAAGTGTGTTTACACAGTAAAATTAATACTTTCAGCCTGGATTTATTTAGCATCTTCTGACACTCAGAAGAGCCAGGGAACACGTGTGTTGCTCTCCCTTGGGATGGTTGAGTATTAGATTAAACTCGCAGGAAATATTTGAATGTCCTCAATAAACAGACTTTGTATTTAGGCACATTGATGTTTTTTGAAGTTCTTTATTGCCTTCATTTTCAAAGTCGGTTTGAGAGAGCTTTTACCAGTCACTTTTGGAAGTTATGTCATTACCACTTCACTTGTTGCTTAAAAAAAAAAAGAATTGTAAATCAACTACTAACTCTGGATTTTTTTTGCAGATGTAAAAGAAATTGTTTTAAAAGCCCAGATCTTAGCTGGAGGAAGAGGAAAAGGTATCTTCAGTAGCGGTTTGAAAGGAGGCGTTCATTTAACAAAAGAGTAAGCCAGGAGGTTTTAATTCCTTGTCTTTCGGGCAAGCAGTTATGGAAGATCCTGCTCATGACTGAAAGGAGCAGCGAGAAAGGGCTGGGGTGGGACTAGGAGCAGGAGGTGACACATAAAGGAAGTAAATTACAGGTCGAGGGCTCTGGCAGTGCCTTAGCTTCCCTTCTCCTCCCACAAAAGGATTTTTGTTCACTAATTGGTGAAAACTTGACACTCCTGTTCTAGACAATCAGTGGTTCATCATGTTTGATATGGTACCACTTACAAATTAAATGCTGCTTCTGTAATGCCACTCTCCTACTCAAGAACCTGCGGTGGCTTCCCATTACCAATGGCATCACTGGTCCCTCCTGTCTGATAGTCAATTCTTCCTTTATCTGAACCTGTCTGATCAGCTTTATATCCTATGTCTCCACACACTGAACACTTTCCTCTCACCTCCTGTCACATAGCTTTCATGGTTACTTTGATCCTTCCCCTTCCCTTTATCCCCATCTTTGGTCTTACTTCCCAGATTGCCCACTATCCAGTATTTGTTATTCAGCTCTTATCTTAGTCTGCTATGCATTTCAGCATTGTGTCTCTACTATGACTGTAACTTATTTGGGGGGAGAGGATAGCAAATGTAAGCAAGCTTCTTTTTGTTTCCCTTCCCTCCCCTCCCTTCCCCTCCCCCACTTCCCTCCTATTGTTTCATTCATTCATACATATTTTGTACTCAGTGAGCCTCTGGTACAGTGCTAGGCACCTAGTGTATGAGCAGAAAGCACCATGGATTCTGTGAAGGTGGAGGTGGGCCCTGGGCAGGGTGGACTTGGGGATATAATACAGACTCTGCTTTAAAATGATTTTCAACAGAGACCTTGACTTTCTTTTCTTTCTTCTCTCTCTCTCTTTTTTTTCTCCTCTCTCTTAGTCCTAAAGTTGTGGGACAGCTGGCTAAACAGATGATTGGGTATAATCTAGCAACAAAACAAACTCCAAAAGAAGGTGTGAAAGTTAACAAGGTAATGTGAATGCTTTTTGTCATTTTCTGTGTATGTGTTAAAAAAAAAAGAAAATAAAATCATACTTCAATTTTGACAGTATCAAATGAAGCAATGCACTTTGGCAACGTGCCATTTTATTTTTTAAACCTCACATAGTTAATTCTGCGTGTGATGTAACTTCAAGGAGAAATAAAAAGGACTCTAAAGTAGTAATAGTGTTTATTGTCATCAGCATTTAGTAAAAATGGGTAGTGATTGAAATAATACCTTTTTCTTTCAGAACACAGGCACGATTCTATTTAAAGCCAAAAGACCTTGGCGTAACAGCTCCTAGACTCAGTGACAGACATCCTCTGCTCCCTCGCAGCCCCACCCTCATCCTCAGTATATCAGAATTACTGTACCCGTTACAGTTGTTTTTCTATGTGCCCCTATAACTTAGTTAAGATTGTTACCATTTTGACCCACTGTTCTCACTGGGAGTATGTTGTATTAGTGAGGTCTCTTGGGACACCCAAGTGTGTATAGGGCACGTACGTGTATACATACACACACAGAGAAAATAAAGCCGAGAGCAAAGTGGCCTGCCTCAGCCATGAAATTGTGAGTGGCAGAGCTGAGGCCAGAGCCTAACTTAACCGTGAGAGCGTCTGTCTTGGTCCCGAAAAGGACACTGAGCTGGAGGGAGATGGAGATACTGGAGGGTCATTAGCTCCTCCCCTCTAAGAACACAGAGCCTTTCTAAATGTCGAGGAAGCCCACAAACAAGACTGGTTCTGGTTATTTCCCTTTCCCACTGCCTCGCAGGTAGATGCAAGAACTGTTTACATCTTAAAGTGGTTTTTCGAATTTATTTTTGTTCAGCCCAGCGTGGTACTTTTTTTTTCCTTTTTAAACTGGTTATGAGCCTTTACCTGTGTAACGTCTTCAAAATTTGTCCCCAGAGGATATGATTAGTAGTTTTGTTTGTAGGAATTTGTTACTTTATATGGACACATGGGGTTTTAGATTAGAGTTTGTGATACCTTTAAAAAGCATATAAAAATACACAAAAGAAGATTCACGTTATATAGATATGCATAAAATTAGTTTTGTAGGTCGGTTCATGAAATACTAGAGATAAGTGCATTATTGTGAATTGAGTCATTGCCAGGAAGCTACCAGAGTGATTTATTTGTAAGTGTTTCTTTTCCTGATTGCAAAAGTGATTAACATATGTAAAAAATTCCAATAATACAGAAATATAAAAATTAGAAAAGTAAAATTTCCCTCTATTCTCACCCCTTAATTGCCATGCTTTGTTTCTGTCCTTTTTCTCTGTAAAATGTGTATTACCACATTTTGTAACAGTATTATTATATACAACTTTAAGGAACATGCATTTTTAATTTATGGAATCTTTGACATCAATCAGAAGTTCCCAGATTGTAGAAACTTTAGATTTCTAAGTTTGTTCAAGAAGCTATTTAAGCACATTACATACATCGATTCACATTGGGTTTTTTTCCCTAAGTCTGTGTTTGCGGTGTGTTCCTTGGGATAGTAATAGGGGAGGTGAGACAGTGCTACTCACCATGTGCTCCACGAGTCAGTACCCGTACTGTTTACTGTTTCGCAAAGAGATTAAGTTCAAAAACTGAGTACGCTGTTAATCCTATCTCATCGCTGTCCTGTTACACGTAGTTTGTACACTGGCTCTCATCCACAGACTACAGTTTGAGTAGCATGATATATAAAAAACAAAACAAAATGAACAAACAACAAAAAAATGAAAAACAGGTTCATTGGTCAAATAGGGTAAAGTATGTTAAAAAGCTTTCCATACCGGAAGACTCCAAGAAAAGGCTGTGTTGATGATATTGTTTGTGTCAGTCACAGATGAAGATTATTGAAATGTATCTAACTGAACTTCTCATGGCATGAGTGTTGGTGGAGTCCATTTAGATTCTCTCTGTAACAATTCCTGAAGTATTTTAATATCCTGGCTCATAGGAAGGGCATCTTAATGTCAAAAAACTGGTCTGTATATAAAAATTTCTTGAATTATCTATTGACAATCATCATTTTCCTGAGGATGTTTTTTTGAAGAGTGATGGGTTGTTTCTACCAAGCAGGAGCTGTTTGAGGCAGCAGCTGGTCTTTGCAAATAGAAATTTGATGGAATGTAGAGCATATCTGTCAACACTTTAGAAGATTAAGAATAGGACTCTTGAATGACACTTATCCTAAAACGTTATAACGTTGTATTGCTTGTCAGAATAACTCCTGAAAGTTATTAAATCTGGCTCGCTAGACTAGCTCTGTATTAGAAAGTGACTTGAAATCAGAATGGTTCTATGAAAATCCTAACACCGTGTGCCAAGAAATATTTCTTACAAACTCATGAGCTACCATTTATGATAGAAGAATCACTATGAAACCCCTTATAAGGTACTTTATTTTTGACCAGTCATAAATTCCATAAAGGTGTGAAAAGAAGGAGTTCTGTATTCATTACGTTATAGCTTTCTAGATCATCATATACTTATCACATGTCATGTGACTTAAAAATTAATGCTTTTGTGGCTTCTGGGTAGCTAAAATCTAATGTCACTTAATCAGTAACATTTTTTGTGAAACGTATTACTGAACTTTTAGGAAAAGCAATGTATGTGATTTTATTATTTTCACTTCTAGTACTGATTCTTCATGGATATTCTTATTTTCTTTTAAAAAGCATCCAAGACATCTGTTACTATTTTTGTTGGGAGTGTTGGTACAGCCTCTCTCTCCAAGGAAATTTAATAGTACTTATCAAAATTTTAAATATGAACAATATAAAACTTAGCCATTTTGCCTTTATATACCTTGACCACAAGGATACTAAAACAATGGAGCAAAGCTATACGTACAGAAATAATCACTGAGGCAGCATTTTAGAAACATGAGTCCACATAAATTGTCATCAGGGACATGGTCAAATAAATATTGACATATAAGTACTGTGTAGTCACAATGAAGAGAGAAGACCTTGTACAATCCAAGTTGTAGTATTAAGATTAAGAACAAAAAGGAAGAAAGAAAGGCATTCAAGCGTGTATAATATGTATCTGTGTGCAGGAGATTCCATGACTAATGCTTGCAGACGCATAGGGAAGAGGTAAAAGTTAGTAGTGGTTTTTCCTGGCAGGGTTGCTTCGTGCCTCTGTTGAGGTCGTGCAGAGCAAAAGGACACCTGTCTGGCACATGTGTGGAGAAAGAAATCCTTCCATCTGATTTGCCTCCTGCCCATTCATGGTCCTGGAATATGACCACATCCTCATAGAGGAAGGGATGACTTTTTCTGATTATCACAAAGGTTCCATATGGACTCGTGATCACTCTGACTACTGGGGCCCAAGGGGTGTGCATGTGCAGCAGGGAGCTGCTTTCACTGTCTCCTCTGTATACTTTTAGTATCGTTTGCATTATTTTCAAACAAGCAAATATTATGTTTGTAATTTAAAAGAAAGTATAAATTGAAATAAAAATACAGTGATCCAAGAGACAGAAGTATTCAAACATAGGAAGCATCAGACATACCATAAAAAGAATCCTTCTTTGGCAACCAAACTTGGTTTTCTACCAGTGCAATCTGAGAAAAATCAGTGTAGTAATATATATGTACTGTTAATGTCTCAAATTAAAATAACAGCTGCTTCCCTGGAGTTTTTCTTAAGTGTCAGGGTTTCCGAAGGAAGAAGAAAAAGAAGATTAAAGTGGGAAGGTTCCTTGAGGCAAACCGAATACCTGTCACTTGAACAAGTTATCAGGATCAATTAAGGAGGTGAAAATGGGCACTGTGCACCATGAGAGCAGCACTCTCAAATCTCACTGGGTTTAAAGACCCTGAAAATGAAGCTGTTTGATTTGTGTAGCAAGTTTGTATAGATTTCCAAGAGGAAATCAGCTCGATGCTGACTTAATTTGACTTTCCCACTAATGTGGTAGGTGATGGTTGCTGAAGCCTTGGACATTTCTAGGGAAACCTACTTGGCCATTCTGATGGACCAGTCCTGCAATGGCCCTGTGCTGGTGGGCAGCCCTCAGGGGGGCGTTGACATTGAAGAGGTGGCAGCTTCGAATCCAGAACTTATTTTTAAGGTATGTTTAGATTCCTGACTATGCTCTGTTCATTGATTGTTGCTATACAACCTGTTAAAGATTTAGTGTGGAGTCTGAGCCAGGTAGACTGTTCCTGGGATTTAAGGCATGAAGATATTGAGTCCTTTTTCTTACTGGGTGTCCAGTTGAAGGTTGGGTAGATACAAAGTATGTGCTTTTCAAGGTCTTTTTCTTTGCTTTTTTCCCCCTCCCTTTTTTTTTTCTCCTTCTTGTCTTTTCTTTCCCCCTCATTTCTTTCCATGAAGATGACTGTGATATTTCCATTTCCTCTTGGTTAACTCTACCCCATTTAACAGTATACATGACCCAGAAATTCTCTCCTAGGAAATCAGATGTGAACTAGAGACTGCCTTGATGTCTTTCAGTACTGGTAATGAATCCTTCTAAAGGCCAGATTCTATCAGTTTGTTTCAATTCATTAAATCTTGTGTGTGGGTTTTTGTTTTGTTTTTGATATTAGGATGAGTTTCTAGCCAAAGAGACCTGAAGTCAAATCCTAACTAACCAGTACATTTCTCAGTGTCTCTAAGCCTCATTTTTTGAATGAGTAAAATGAAAATGGGGGTAATTCCCACCCCATAGAATTGTAAGGATTAAATGAGGTGATGTATATAAAGTGCTTATCAACCTACCTCAACTATAAGAAGAAAAACCTAAGGTCTTTAGAACTATAATCCCAGCTTTTAATTGTGAGTTCTTAGTGTCAAAAAGAAATCACAAAAAAATTTTTTAGCAGAAACATTCATTATTCCTTTTAGAAAGTGATTTTTTTCCCTCCAAAAACCAAGGATTTTATTTCTTGAAACTCTTCATTTATATAAGGTAGTACTACTTTGGAGATTGGTTTTAAAGTATTTTCACCAATGTTACATATTTAAGTTAACTACTTTGGAAGTTAAATTGAGACTTTACATGGTGGCTTTCCAATAATACCTACCCATTTTTGAAATTAACATGATTTAAAACAAACCATTCCATTTGTTAAGAGAATACATGAAATAATATGTATGAACAGCACTCAGTATCTTGGAGGGAATGGCCCTTTGTAGAGCTAGGGTATTATTAATAATTATCATCATCAATAGAGTGTTTAAATCATAAGGTAATATTTAACCTGTATAAGACAAGCTCTAAACTTAACAGCAGTATTAGGCAGGAAAAACTTACTTTGGAAGCCTTCCAAAAAATGTCATAAAAATTAACTGCCTAAGTATTCGTCACTGCCATCTGTATAGTAATTAAAAGTGAAAACTGGCCTCCGATTGTCTTGTCAGCATGCCACCCTGAAGAATTATATAGTTTTTGGAAAGGCTGTTTTATAGATGGTCTGCTAATTAAAATATACCCTATAGGCAGCTGTGGTAGCCCAGCTCAGAGATCTCTGGAAAGGTGCCACACTTCAATTACTCATTTGCAAATAAATACTAAGTATTTTCTTTTGAGGTTGTAAATCTTTTCATTTGACTGTCTGAATTTTGCTCATTTGATTCATTTTTATTAGGAGCAAATTGACATTATTGAAGGGATAAAGGACAGCCAAGCTCAGCGGATGGCCGAAAATCTAGGCTTCTTTGGGCCTTTGAAAAACCAGGTACCTGAGCAATTGGAGGCCGGTGTGTCTGACGTGTTTCAAAAAATGTTTGGGAACTTGCTAATTGCCTCTAATGTTTGTGATTATCAGGAAATAGGGTAATTTATTGTTTTCTTTTTTTTCCTCTAGTTGTTTATAATGAAAAAATATTTACCTGATGTTCCAAAGAGGATGTTTATGACGTGTGTTTATATATATATATGTATTGATATATCAGTATGTATGTGTGTGAGAGTGTGTCGCCTGCAGACTCATGCACTTTGTTATTTATGTTGGTCTCTTTGTCTTTTTGGTAGCATTGCAGCTCCAGCGCATGAATTATAAGAGGCAATATAGTGGTTAGAAGCACAGGCTGTAGAGTCAGGCAGTCCTGAGTTTGAATCCTATACTGCTACCCAGTACATGTGTGATTCAGACCATCTGAACGTCTCTTTCATCATCTGTAAAATGGGGTGGTGAGATCCTAACTGAGAGGGTTATCATGAGGATTGAGTACCCTGATGTGTGAAAGTGCATATTCAATACTCCAGAAAGGTCAGTTATTATTGTTGTTAATAATATACATTACTTAACTAATTGCTATTCTTTCATAGCTAATGGGCATTTGAGATGAATGTTAATGGCACAGAGGTGATATTTCACTGAAAACAGCTTAAATTATGCCAATTTAGTAATTATATCCCTTGGTTTCAAAGACAGAAATATCACCCTCTGAGCTATTAATATTAAGGGAGAGAGTCTGTCTTGAGCATCACAGTCCTGCACTGCCCTTGGTCCTGCCCATAGAGCCTGATTTTATGTCTAGTAGGCAAGCTTCCTTATCTCACAATTAAATCAGAAGAATTTACTGGCTATTGTTTTCCTCTTCCATTACTTAGAGGAGCCACCTTGATAACCCTTCATCCTCTGTGTGCATGCATGTGTGTGTGTGTGTGTGTGTGTGTGTGTTGTCCTAGAGCTCTAGGATTGTTATAGTTTCCTTTAATTTGGTTGGGTAACGTTCCTCCAGTAAAGCAGTCAGTTGTGCACTCTTCTTTTTCCTGCCTTTACTTCTTCTTTTAATTGATTCTATCTCTAGAAGTTTAAAGGGTAACAATAAGGCAAGTCCTAGAAGGGTGAAGCAGAATAAAACTTTAAAATATATTTGTTTCAATTAGAGAGAACAGCACTTACTTGAAGACTGGGGAAAAGGCTCCAGTGGAAAGCTAAAGGTTCAAAATGGTAGCAGGAAACAGGATCATCAGGGACTAAACCTCAGTAGGAAATAGAAAGGGCCAGGCTTCAGTGGACAGCTAGAGGAATTAATTGCCGTTTCCGAGACTGGCAAAGAGACGCCAGGTTAGTGACCTGCTGAAAACGAGATAATGGAGGATTTGTGGGTAAGGGCTGCAGTGGCTGGTTTCACTTCCTGAGTATGAGGCCACTAACTATATTAGCTGATCATTTGAGATTTATTTAATGGCTTCTTGTGTCTGGGTGGTGGTCACGGAGAGCCACTCTCCATGTAGTCACTGTGTTCTAGCCATACTGTCCTACAGTCAGTTCCAGAATGTGCTCAGTAACCCTGTTTACATCCTCTGTACCCCTTTTAACATCTGTATTTCTCTTGGACATTTGCAGTCACCTTTGATGGATTCTCATCCGCACCACAGCAGGGACTTGGTGAATCTTGCTTACTACTGTGTTGCCAACAAAGTGCTTGGCAAATATATTAGATGCCCAAGAAACATCTATCATATGCATGAATAAGTGAAATAACACATCTAGGATGTCCACTTGGAAGAGATTCCTAGGGAGTCAGGGATGGGTAGCTGTAAGTGACAAGAGAATAAATTTGGAGTGGATAAAATCTGCTGACCACATGGCTTGAAAACTCAGGAGGTAAACATAACAGAGTTCTAGAGAAGGCAATAATAGTATTATGTACACCATCAGTCCCTCCCCCCAACATAATGTAAGAGACAATTAAGTTATTTATAGCTCTTAAATGACTGAATCATGCTTTCCCAGTACCCTAAACACTCTAGGTTTTAAGTGAGTTATCTATGGAAGGAAGATGAACATGCAAGTTCTCAGGGGTCATTAGTAGCTATATTGTCATTATATTTTTGACTTAATATACTGAGGAGAGTAAAGAAGTGTTTTAAATCAGGTTGGTTTTTTTTTTCCTTTTTTCATCGTTGTCTCTATGAAAGGCTTTAAATCTTCATTTGCTCAGCAAAGTTGGACCAAGGTCATCTGCTGAATCCTGGCGAACATAGGTGATAACTAGCCATTGTTTCCTAGGGGCTCAGAGGGCAGTGGTCGGCCTTCTGACAGTGAACACAGGAGGAGGGGGTGTGAAGGAGAGAGAGAGAGATCTCAGCTGTCGTTGTGTCCAGATTTGTTCATCTGGGGCCCCCCGTTTATATTTGTACAGTAGAACGTGGAACGCATGGCGTAGCAGCACGGGGAACTTTTGGAGCTGTAGATTTAGGGATCTCTGCTTTACAGTGCTTCCTCCAGTCATGGGGCTCAGTGTACTGTGAGCAGAGGAGCCACCTGAGAGGAGGAAACATTTATTTAAATGATCAGCCATTGGTGATCTTTTGGTAAAGAAATGGTATTTTAGAGGCCCCTCGACTCAATGTGACTTTGAAAGTTACTTGATTTTCATTTAGGATGTGGTTTGGGCCTTTGGAGGTGCCTCACTCATGGACAAACGACATATAAAATGATTCTCTTATAAAATTATTAATATCTTTCCTGTGACTCATGCCTGTTGTCTCTAAAATATGATGTATTAATATTAGGTTTAACCAAAAATAAACATCATCCTGTGTAAAAACCTACCATGTATATGTTCCTCGTGAAAATACATTTCAGCAAGAGCTGACTGAAAAGACTGAAGCCATGGGAAAACTGAATATGACTAAAATCCGCAAGTTCCTCAAGCATCTCTTATCATCTATACTATTCATTTCTAAAAACATAGGCACCATGAATTGGTAGCATGCGCCTCTAGGATTTAAGCTGATGAAAATATCTGATAAACCAAGTTAATACAAGCTCATTAACCCTTCTGGGTGTGGTTTGTACCTCTGGCTACCTTTAAGAACCATATATGAATGTTGATGATATTAATTCCTGGAGTGCAAGAGAAGTTTTTCAAAATTTTTTTTAACCTGTTAAAACATTTTTGAAGACATTGGTAAATATGTCAGGGTTTCGTGCATATGGCCCTCACGATATTTGATGTTAGGCATTTAATTTTTTTGATTGCTTAACAAATAACCGTAAAATAACATTAATTGTGGCAAAAAAGAAACAAAACAAATATTCCGTACAGCATGGTTACTGAGGAAGTAGGTGGCAGTGGCAAGCTGGCTAACTGCACATTTACTAGCAGGATGTTTTCTTTGACTGTGTTTAATCTGTTTTTTAAATTTGAACACATTTAGAAAGCAGGAGAGCCAGCTCAACTTGCCACAGGCCTTGCCATTTCCTATTATTACACCTGGGCAGACTGACGGCGCTTTGCCTGGAGAGCCTTTGTAGTCATTTGGTGTATAGCCTCTGGAATAAGGCACGTTTTGTCTCCAAGCCAGGCTGGATCTCCCTTGTGGATATTACAACACAGATTTTATAACATATACCCCTTGTAGGTCTTACAGCATAGATCTAGTCATGCTTCAAAAAATGTTTATGGTCCGCCTTTACACAATAATAAACAATTGTAATAACGAATGCCCCCCCAAGTGCTGTGTTAATGTATAACTACAATGGCAGTAACACGAGAAAATTCAGGCTTCATGCTAAGCTAGGTTAATGTAAGCTTTAGAAGTTTTAAAGCAACCCAGGTGTTCATAGACAAATAAATGGGCAAAAAAAATGTAGTATATACATACAGTGGAAGGTTGTTCAGCCTCGCGAGATCCTGACACGTGCTGCAGTGTGGACGAGCCTTGAGGACATTTTGCTAAGTGAAATTAGCCAGTCACAAAAAAGACAAACATGTATCATTCCATTTATATGCGGTATCTAGAGTAGTCAAAGACTGGTTGTTAGGGACTGGGGGAGGGGAGAATGGGAAGTTGATATTTAATGGGTACGGAGTTTCCGTTTTCAGGATTCTGAAAAAGTTCTGGAGCTTGGTTGTACAACATTGTGAGTGTACTTGACACTGATGAACTATACACTTAAAAATGGTTGAGTTTGTGAATTTTATGTTATGCGTATTAAAAAGTTTTGAAGTAGCTGGGATAAGATCTTATATATGTATGCACACAAGTTATTTCTATTATGCAGTGTATCCTTATTATTAAATTAATGATTATTTCAACCATAATTTATTGTGTTGACTCTGCACAGAGGCTGAATAACTGTGGTGGATGCCACGGTGCCCAGGGTAGACATCATGCCTCTCTTACGCAGCTCACATTGCACGCTCATATTGATAACCTGGAAGATCCCTAAAAATACAAAAAATATTCAGCAGTGAGTCACTTATCTGCTCTACACTGTAACTCAAATAAAATCTGTTTGCATTTATAAAAATAGAGTAAACATTAAATAAAGAAATTTTTTAAAAGTTTTTGAAAAAATAATGGTAGAATTGTGAGGGTGGGACCAACCTTTTTCAAGTCCAGCACAAAGCCAGAAGCCAAGAATGACATTATTATTATCAAATTTCCATGCAGCAGAAGTAACAAAAACATGGGCAAAAGATAAATGTTAAAGGGCAAAAATATTTGCAATTTCTATGGGATTAAGAGCTAAATTCCTTCATGTAAAAACGCCTCATATAAATTAAAATGAGAAATACTAAAATCTCAACTGAAGAATCGGCAAAATTCACAGCAGAGGAAATACAGATGCTTCAATATCACAGAGAAATGCTCAGATTCATTTACAGTAAGAGCGATTCAAATTAAAACCATATATGAGGTACCCATTTTTACCTAGCATTCTGAGAGATCCAGATAGCTGATGGTTGTGAGTAGAAAAACAACCTCTATGATGCTGGTTTGTAGAAGAGGACATTAGTGAAAGCTCTTACCAAGAACAATTTAATAAAATCTTTTATTATGTGAAATGCTCACCCATTTTTGTTCCACTCCAGGGAATATATCCTACAGATGTTTAATCATATGTACGATATATATGTACAGATATAGGTAAGGCAGCATTTGAAGTAATGTCAAACTACTGGAAACCAAATGACCATTATTTAAGAGACAGGTTAAATGAATTACGATACATCCATACAGTAAAATATCATGCAACCATTTACAACATTGCTCTCTTTGTGTTGCTGATGAAGGCCCTCTGAAACCTATTAATAAAGAAACAAGGTATAGAACCAAGTTGGGTTTCTTAAAAAAGATGAATGCAGTGTGTGTATGCTTGCATATGCATAGCTGTATCTCTTTTTTTTTTTTTGCGATACGTGGGCCTCTCACTGTTGTGGCCTCTCCCATTGTGGAGCACAGGCTCCGGACGCGCAGGCTCAGCGGCCATGGCTCACGGGCCCAGCCACTCTGCGGCATGTGGGATCTTCCCAGATCGGGGCACGAACCCGTGTCCCCTGCATCGCCAGGCGGACTCTCAACCACTGCGCCACCAGGGAAGCCCCCATAGCTGTATCGCTTAACGAAGCATCAAGCTGTAAGTGGCTGCTGCAGGAGGACAGATGGGGGCTACGTGGCTGGGGATTCTGGTGAAGGTTCTGAGGGAGACCCTTGTGTACCTTGGGAATTTTGTATCATGTACATGTACTATCTAGCCAGAAAAAAAATAATATTAAAAAATATTCAGTTTTACTCGTTATGTTTGTTTATGTCCGCTGGCTTTGAAATTAGGATTTAAAGAAGTTTACACATGTATATACAATAAATTAAGATAATATGAATTACATACATCTCCAGGAGTTCTTTACTCACTACCAGAACAAAGAAATCACTCCTAGTATTTACCACAGTGGAACTTTATTCTAGGTAATTGGTTATGTAGGTGCTGTGAGAGCAGAGAAGTTTCAGAGTGGACAGAGAGGCAATGCAGAACTAAACAACAGCAGGAAATTGTTGCTACCTGTGTGCTCAAGGGACAAAGTGAGGCAGTGGTATTACTGGACTTTGGGATACAGAAGTTGGGACCCTGGTGGGAATTAAAGCCAGAGGAGACAGAAAGAAAGGGGTAGAAATACCCCTCTTTTTCCTTCCTCCCACCTCCTGTCTCTCACCGCTGCTTTCCATTGGCTGAACTGAAGCCAGCTGGCCCAGGAGCCTTGGAAACACAGCCTGAAAGTGTCAGCTCCCTTGATACAGAGTAGGGATGGGGAAAAGCCAGAAACGAATCTGAGGGCAAATAATGCAGGATGGGAACAATGAACAAAAATGTAGCAATGGGAAAACCATGGCTGGGAAATAAGACGGAGCCAAGAATGAGACCGAACCCCAGCATTCAGTCTTGATTGCACATTGCACAGTCTCACTGTGCTGCATCACAGGCTGTGTTCACTGCAGGTGCGAGCTTTCCAGGGTGCTGTCACGCCTCATTTGTGATTCTTCCCCAAGCCCCGGCTCACACAATGCCAGCCTGCTGTGACATGAGCAGTTAATAAATGTTGGTTGAAAAGAATGAATGAGCAAGTGAATTTCAAGCAGAGTGAGAAAGATGAAGTCAGGGACACAACACCAGGGAAACTGTGGATATTCTTGCTCTTTGTGGTTTATGCCTTTGGAACAAACGGTTTTTAGTTTGAACTGTGCTATTTAGAAAGTTTACCATTTGGGATTTTCATCTTCCTGTTTTGCAACCATTTCCATTAGACACTCAGTAATTGTTTTTTCACAGATTATAGGTTTGGATTGATGAATATAATAACAGTTTTATTCCAGCCTAATAAGGAAAACCTTATCAATATAAACTCTCGAAATCCTGTTTACCTTTTACTTAAATGGAGCTTGTTTGTATTAATGATTGTAGCTCATATGGTGCTATAGCTCACCTAATAGGGACATGATAATTTTCAAAAAGATTAAGAACGTTTTTAGGCCGTACTGAAAATATTTTGTTTTCTTGATAATGGTATTTCCCGGTGTCTGGAGGAAAGGTGAGCAATTCCTTCTAATGAATAGCAATAGAAATTAAAATAATTATGCTTTTCTGTTTTTCCCTTCAGAAAACCTAACTGAAAATAAAGACATAACTTGCTATTTTTAAGGTTTCATTAGTCCAGCAAAATAAATGTGTTTTTTTTACTGCTTTCATGTAATTTCATTTCACTTGATCACATTTAGGCTGCAGATCAAATTAAGAAGCTGTATAATCTCTTCCTGAAAATCGATGCTACTCAGGTGGAAGTGAATCCCTTTGGTGAAACTCCAGAAGGACAAGGTAAAAAAAAAAGAGAGAGAAAACAAATTAATGTAATTATTTATGCAAACTATAAATTGTACAAAAAGACTGTAGCAGCAGCCTTGCATTAATTTCCTTCAGTAATTTAATTCCTGCCATAGTTTCAAATGCTCCCATGATGCAGTTAAAGATTTCAGCCCTTGAGTTTGTTTGTAGCCAAATGCCAAGCCTCCAGGAAAGTTACTTCTTGTTTTATTTAGAAACATCCATCCACCATCACCCCCTAGTTTTCATGCCCCTCACTGCTGCTACATGGTAAAGATTTAGGCTGGATCAGGAGCCACAGCACTTGGGTGTAGTGAATGCACCTGCTTTTATGGAACTGAAACTGTTTGAAGCTTTTTAGTTTACCTAAATCTGCATGTAATTTCACCTTGTGTCTCCTGCTGAAGTTATGTCATCATGGTGAAGCCTCGAGTGCCCATTGTCAAACTCTTTCCTGTTACTTGGTTAGCAGCTTTCCCTTCAGGTGGGAGAAGGAGACATTTTTGTGGAGAAGGATTTTTCTTCCCATTGGGTACTTGTAGTGTATCAATAACTATCTTATATCTCAGCACCTACCACCCTTGCACCGTGTCTTGCATACAGCAAGTATTCAGTAAGGTCTTATTAATTTGATAGCAAAAGCTTGAAAATGTGCATGTGTTTATGGTGGGGGGGGTGGAATATCAAGGGGATAGGATAGTGATAATGTAAATTTCATGAACCTTGTCTTTTTTAGTATCTTTCAACACCAGTGTCTTGTTTGCTGCTTAGCATGTTGTGAGCAGACAGTAAATAAGGATTTGCCATTGCACTAATAAATGCCCATTATGTGCAAATACAAATAAGTTCTAGACCAGCGTGGATGGTACAGTTTTTTCTCTTTAGTATATTTCAGAGATTGTATAGTCAGACTCAGAAAATTTAAAATACCATGTCCTTGGAACCCAGAGAGGCCTGGGATTGCTGTGTTCCAGCCACATATGTGGGCTAAGCCTCAGTTGTTTTTTGTTTGTTTTTGTTCATAAATCCAAAAGAGTGGGTAAAAATGATACCTATCTTGTAGGGCAGTTGTCTAAATGAGGTGATTGGTGTAAGTATCCAATGTTAGATACAAAATAGGCTGGCCCCTGACATTCATAAAATGTATTCTTCTCAAGGAGTATAGAAGTAGTCCAGGAAAGGTATAGATTTTATATTTTTATCTATTTTTTTGTTTTGTTTTGTTTTTAAAGATTTCAGATTAGGACAGGCAAAGAGCTCATGTTTAGGAAACCATTGAAATTAATAGGTTTCATGGTTTACACAAGTGACCACTAGATAAAATTCTGTGGTTCGTCATTTATAAGTGAACTACCTTTATGCTGAAGTATTTGAAAAATTGCATTTGGCTGTAAAATAATCAGTATTTGATATAGAGAGGAGAAGAAAATTGTTTCTGGAACTCATACATCAGGCACTGTGTTAAACTTTTATGTGTCTTCTTTTTTTATTGTTTATCATAACTGAAGAGTTAGGAGTTGTTACCTCCATTTTATAGAAGATTGAAGAATGAATTTGGCTCCCCGTGGGCAGCTAGTTACTGGAGCTGGGATTCAAACCCTTGTCTGTTGGAGTCTGGTGTGCATGTTGATTCTGATATGCCAGACTAACTTATGGTGACCTGCCTTATTTTCTATTTTTTCCATCTTAAACTGTTAATTTGCTTTCATCAGAGTGATCTAGAAGTAGTCTCCAGTTTGGGAATATCAATTAAAATTCATGCTGCATTGAGTGGCTGATAATTAAATCCAAGAGAGGAAGTTGAGTTTAAATTCTTAAAGGTCATATATTGCTTTCCAAGCTAATACGCACAAGCAACCTGGTTATTTCATATTAACAAAAAAAATTCAGCCATCAAGTGGGATAAAAATGGCATTTTCATTTATCCCTTTGGGAAGTTGTCGGTCACAGATTGTGGTCTGGCAGCAGGCAACAGGGCTACAAGAACCTTTTCCTAGAGAGTGTTTGTAAAACCTCGTAAAATGTGAAGTTTTCTTTTTAATTATTAAGAGAAAGGAAAATTATTGAGCTTTTTCAAAGGAATCATAAAATACATTCCATGTATATAGTTCATTAAAACATAAGTCTTATGTGATATTTTTAAGAGCAAAATTATCTTCAGCTATTAATTTGTTCATTGTACCATAAAAGTTCAGCTATTGAATTATAATCACAATTAAATAAGTGTGTTGGTTTATAACTCCTAATGAGCAGTAGTCAAATTAAACCCAATTAGGAAACGTTGATGAATGACCAAATGTACAAATTGATCTTCATCATTGTCACATTTCCCTAAAGCAATCCTTTATTTAGGAGCTGTAATAGTAGTCATTTCTACCTTAGCAATATTGACAATATTTATAATCAGAATACTTAAATTTTTTCTTTTAGATCAGTAATAGCAAAACATATTAAACCTTTCCCATTAAAACCTTGACTTAACAATTACTCTTTTAATTTAGAAGTTTAAGAAGCTTGGCATTACACCAAACTTTTTATTTTAAAAAGTTTTAAACTTATTCATTACACAATTTCTTTGTAAAAGAATTTCTTCAGTCTTCTATTGCTTGATGAGGAACATTTTAAAAAATTCCAGGTGAATGGTCATATATATGCATAGTAGATGACACACGGTAGAAAGAGTAGCATTGGCCTTGATAACATCTACGCTGCTAGGTCACCAGGGGGGAGTTTTTGGTACACCCCAAGAACGATTTTTTCCAATGTGATTAATAGTCTGACTCAAACAATATAAGTTGGCACTACTGACTGTAATGTAGTTTAGTGACTACTAGTTAGGATTATAATGGTTGTTAGTGACACAAACCTACATCAGACTAGTTTTTGTTAAAAAGCCCCCTGGGGAGGTGGGTACTTATTTTACTTGTGTTACAGAGAAGTTTAAGGAGTAGGCTGGCTTAAGGTATGAAGGTAATCAGGGATTCTCTGGTTGCCCAGTGCTGCTTGCCTCTAACTCAGCATCTTTGTCAGCTAGCGCCTCTGGAGCTGTCAGCCAAGATGGCTCTCGGTTTTCATCATTCTCCTCCAGCAACAGTAACAGTCCTTTCAGATGATGCTGATTGGCCCTGCTTGGGTCACATGTGCACACCTAGCCACATTCACTGAGCTGGAATCACATGGTGAGAAAAAGGCTCGCAAAGGAAGAAGGGACATTGAGTTAAAACGTGTCTATGAGAATGACAACTTTTATTGAAATGAAAGCAAACAAATAGAAAGAAATGAACTATTTTCCTTGCTTGTCCAATTGCAGTGCCAGATTTAATTCATTAAACCTGTAGCCAAGTAAAAAGCAAGGTTTTTTTAGTTTTTAATTATTTACCTATCTTCATTTACTTATTTTGTAAGCCACTGTGAGATTTTATATCTTATTTCTTTTCATCCCACTCTCAGCCAGATCTGCCTGCACACACACTCGTTTCTTTGGTATGTTTTTTTTTTTTTTTTGTGGTATGTGGGCCTCTCACTGCCGTGGCCTCTCCCGCTTGCGGAGCACAGGCTCCAGACGTGCAGGCCCAGTGGCCATGGCTCACGGGCCCAGCCGCTCTGCGGCATGTGGGATCCTCCCAGACCGGGGCATGAACCCGTGTCCCCTGCATCGGCAGGTGGACTCTCAACCACTGCGCCACCAGGGAAGCCCTCTTTGGTATCTTTAAAACAATGTTTCTCATTGGGGAGGGTGGGCATTTCGTTCCCCAGGGGCTGTTTGGCAATGTCTCGACACATTTTTTTACTAAAATATAATTGACATACAACATTATACTGGTTTCAAGTATACAACACAGTGATTTGATTTATATCTATGTCTGTCTAGTGAAATGATCACCACAATGAATCTAGTTAACATGCTTTTTTGCTTGTCACAACTTAGGGTGCAGGATGCTACTTGCTTCTAGTGGGTAGATGCCAGGGATGCCACTAAACATTATACAATGCACAGTGCTGTCTCTCTCATAAGAAAATGATCTCACTCAATATGTCAGTAGTCCTGAGGTTAAGAATTCCTGTTCTAAGCCATCTTCATCAGTTGGAGCTGAAATCCATTCACTGAGCTAAAGGAATTAAACCCAATTTAAAACTATCTGGCCAAGATTCCAAGAGAATTAAGGCTGGGTGATCCAAAGTTAAGTGGCACATCAAATTCCTTTCTTTCTTCAGATTAATTTCCCTAAATAACCACCCTGTGTTAGCAAGTGCCCATGTTGTTGGTGGGTGTTTCTCTCTTTATACACAAGACTATTTTCAAGAACATTCTCAGTTCTCTACCTTCCTCCGAAGCTCCCTCCCGCCTAGTGTCTATTTTTCTCTTTTCACAGCAACTAAAGAAAAGTTCTCAAGAGTATACAACTCTTGAAATTAACATTTAACGGAAAGTGGACTAATTTGGAAGTATCAGCGTTTTAAAGCCATCTTGGTAAAGCGCATTTCAGTAGCACGTTATGGTTATTTATCACAAATCGAATTCAGTACACTGCTTGAAGACAGATGATTTTCCAAAATAATTATTACAAGTCTTATTTCCTGCTGTTTTTTGTTTTGTTTCTTTTATGTGTGAGTCTCCTCTCTGAAATGTATTTTTCTTTTGTTTAATTCTGTGGCACATTCTTCTGTTAAAACTCTAGGGTCAGAGGCCGCTAACTGCCAGTCACGTTCTCAGTTCTTTATCGAGGTTGTTGAATTAGCAGCTCACAGGATCTCACACCATTAAACAAAACAACAAAAACAGCCTATGAATATAAGTACTGCAGCTTTCTTTGATATTTCAGAAGGAAAATTCATTTGTATAATCTATCAAGCATATAACAATATGCTTTTGATGGTGAAAATTGTTTTATAAATATTAATAGGTGTGTTTTTTTCACCCACTTTGTACACAGAATGGCCTTTGTTCGAGTTGAATTTTCTATAGAATTGAGATTTCATTAATGTGACATTGAAAAATTTAATATCTGAACCAAGCTCAGCACCTCCAAAAATACATTTTACCATAGTTTATTGTCTTATTAAATGAAAAAGCCAAGGTCTGAGCAAGGAAGTTTATTTTATTGTGCTATTGTTGACATAGCCAATCCATTTTTTTTTTTACATCTTTATTGGAGTATAATTGCTTTACAATGTTGTGTTAGTTTCTGCTGTATAACAAGGTGAATCAGCTATACGTATACGTATATCCCCATATTCCCTCCCTCTTGCGTCTCCCTCCCACCCTCCCTATCCCACCCCTCTAGGTGGTCACAAAGCACGGAGCTGATCTCCCTGTGCTATGCAGCTGCTTCCCACTAGCCATCCATTTCACATGTGGTAGTGTATATATGTCAATGCTGCTCTGTCACTTTGTCCCAGCTTACCCTTCCCCCTTCCCGTGTCCTGAAGTCCATTCTCTATGTCTGTGTCTTTATTCCTGTCCTGCCCCTAGGATCATCAAAATCTTTTTTTTTTTTAATTCCATATATACGTGTTAGCATACAGTGTTTGTTTTTCTCTTTCTGACTGACTTCACCCTGTATGACAGACTCTAGGTCCATCCACCTCACTACAAATAACTCAATTTCGTTTCTTTTTATGGCCAAATAATATTCCATTATATATATGTGCCACATCTTCTTTACCCATTCATCTGTTGATGGACAGTTAGGTTGCTTCCATGTTCTGGCTATTGTAAATAGTGCTGCAGTGAACATTGTGGTACGTGACTCTTTTTGAATTAGACGATCCATTTTTAACCCACCAGTTCTGAAAGTGTACTTGGAGGGGTCTTGCAGGGGGAAATTAGCCTATAAGAGTCAATCAGTATTCAGGGATTGATCTACTTCTTTTGTGCAAGCTGAAAGTTTTGGTTTAGTTTGTTTGTCATACTTTTTTGTTTTCACACTAGTATGATGAACTTTCCTAAGTTTCTCCTTCACTCATACAAATATGATACCTGTGACTGTTTTTTCAGTTGTTAAAGTAGGATACAAGTCTGATGAGAACTGTGGCTTAGCTGGGATTGGCAACCTTTTTCTGTAAAGGGCCAGTTAGTAAATATTTTGGGGTTTGGGGGCCATTTAGTCTCTATTGCAGCCACTCATCTCTGCTGTTGTTTTGGGACAGCAACCATAGAGGTGTGTAAATGAATGGTTGTGACTGAATTCCAGTAAAACCGCCTTTACAAAAACAGGCAGTGAGCTGGCCCAAGGGCTGTACTCTGCCACTGCCTGACTTAGAGTCTCACTAGGGGCTGTATTAGACACATCTATAGCCTCCCTGGCCTTATGCAACGGTGTGGTGTGATTCAGGGATCACCAGAGTCATCTCTTTCATCATCATCCTTTAGGCAAAATCTCCTTCTCTGTCAGTTCCAAAGCCTGAAATGAATGCCAACCATTAAAATCCTTCCTGTGGGAAAATTCTGATGTATTCAGAAGATCGTATTTTTATTGAAAACCATAGGTAACCTGTACATGTGTAAACTCCAGTAGGCATTAGTTTAGATGTACTCTAAACAGAATTCTAGGATTATAAGGGAATGGGACAAAGTACAGGTCATTTTTAGTGATAGGAAGAGAAGAGAATCCTGTAGCCTGGGCCATAAGGACCCGTCGTATTTCTGAAGCCCTAAGAAAGCACTGTGCATGTAGAGGATGGCATTGGTAGTAATAAAAATAACCAGTGAGTGGCAGCTGTCAGTGAGGCTCAGTGCTTTGCATGCATCCTCCCCTTCCTTCAATACAGTGCAGTAGAAAATACTCTGGTCCCCATTTGACGACAAGGCCACTAGGCTTAAGAGACACGATGGACCCCTGGTTAGGAAGTGTGAGAGTTATAATTCATACCCAGGTGTTTTTGATGCCAGAGCCTGCGTTAAATGGTCAAGTTCAAGGGAAAACTTTCATAACATTATGAACTGAGATTGTAAGGCAGGAAAGCCCTTTGTATGTTTGGGACCATTTTAAAAATATTGAGCAGGTTTAACAAATATGTGTCTAACAGAATCCATGTACCTCCTTAAAATGCTTTATCCTCCCCTCTAGCGCCACCCTCCCCAAAAAAGATTTAGGCATTAATGGTGTCAATTCAGTTTTGGATATTTTTCATTACTCCTTACAGTTGCCTTACTTACTTCCTATTTATGTAGTGTTTTTAATTTCTAAAAGCACTTGGACATACATACATTGACCTGATTCAAGATTTCAGTGTTCTGGAAAGTAATTACTCATTTGCTCTGTATATTCACAATGTGTGGGTAAAGGGGTTGGACATTTTGTGGCAACACAAAGGACTCAGGCAGACATTAAATTCCATTTAAGATTCTCCCTTGTCAGTCAGTGCTACTTTAAGTAATTTGTGGTTTGGACTTTTATTTATGCTGAGAATTCTTAGATGTTAATATGACAATTCTGCACAGATTTGTACCAAAGCGCTCAATTATTGTAGTAGAGAGACCCTTGGAAAAAACCTCTACCTGGGGTCTTTAACTCCAGGATGCTACAATATAACAATATTTTCTTTTCATAGGAAGCAAGTGGGACTAACAGACCATGGTCATTACTTTAGAATGAAATATATGAAGGTGGTTCTTTCCCTGTCAAGAGTTAGGTGCCTATCAGCAATGCTGGAGGAGAACGGGTAATATCTAAATTCATGGTCAGAGATCCCTGCCTGTTGATATCCCAGGCAGGGTAAAAGAAGGTTATGATGGAACGTCATCATAGACAATTACTTTCTACTCTAAGGGATCTAATAAAAGAGATCAGATCCAAGACACCAAGCACACCACCCGTCCCCACTGCAGTCGCTACCTGATTGTACATGTGGAAGATCTGTAAATCAAGGAAAACTCTGTGGTCCCTCCCTGTCGCTGAGTGGGTTTCACTGAGTCCAGGGCTCCTAGTCAGTAAAAAGAGTTAGAGATTTCTGCCAGCACCAGAGGGTGGAGACAGTGGTGCTAATAATGCCTGGCAACATTCCATCGTAACTGACTAGTCTTGGTCTCTTAATGTTTTGTATCTTGAATCACAAGAGTCATAAGATGGTCCTGCTCGCATCAAGGTGATGGTCTAGTTTTAGCAGACCCCAAAGTAAGTGTATCAGCAGTCTAGGGATTGTTGTTTCCATTTTTCAAATAAGAAAACTGAGGTCCAGAAAGAAAGTAGGTTATTTTTATCAAAGTTACAGATTTAGTTAAGGATCAAATAATTTAAAAAATCTATTCATTCTGGCCTGGTGTTCTTTCCACTATATCTTCTAGACATATTAGTGAGGATACTGATTAAATAAAAACTTCACTTTGCAACATCAAAAGAAGGACATAGGGGGACAGCATTAAGCGTTATTGTCTAGTCTCTCCTTGCATTGAAGTGAAAGGTTAAATACTAAAAATAAGAACTGTAATAAAAATTGCAAATCAAATCTGTATGTAGCTATGCCAGTCTGTAGCTTTTAATGAGTAATGGCAACTTACATTGTTATTTTATAGAAACCAACAGATACAAATTATTATGCTTTTTATTAGGATGTAAGTCCCTGGAAAACAGGGACCATGTCATATTTGTCTTAGTAGTCTTAAAGTTTAAAGGTCAAGAAAGCTATAACAGCTTCTCCTGCCTGAAGCATGAGAAAAAAATAACAATATTTGACTTTCTTTCTCCTGCACTTGTCAGCCTGAAGAACTTAATTTATAGATCCTTAGGAGATATTTAGGTATGTTTCTTTTTTCTTTATTAGTTGTCTGTTTTGATGCCAAGATAAACTTTGATGACAATGCAGAATTCCGACAAAAGGACATATTTGCTATGGACGACAAATCAGAGAATGAACCCATTGAAAATGAAGCTGCCAAATACGACCTAAAATACATAGGACTGGACGGGAACATTGCCTGCTTTGGTAAGAAAGCAGTTATATCAAAAGAATGATTTGTGGATTTTTGCAGAATTTAGGGCCCCTTGGTTTCTGAAATGTTATTTCCCAATAGCAAGTAAACATATGAGATTTTTGTAGCCAAACACTCTTAAGAAACAACCCAAAATTTCTTCCCAAAGTTCATTTTGGCTGGTGGTCACCAGTTTAAAGCAGGGTTTCTCACTTCTGGCACTATGAACATGTTGGGTTGGATAATTCTTGACTGTGGGGCGCTTTCCTGTGCTGCATTGTCACCAGTTGTGACAACCAGAAATGTCTCCAGACATTACCTTTTGGTAAGCACAGTCACCCCAGTTGAGGACCACAACATTAAAGTATTTCAGTTAAACTTTGATTAGTAAAGGTCAGAACTTCTGCTACTCTAGTCAATGTTAATATGCTAGGAATTATTCTGAAATCTTGGTTTAAGATAAATTGCTTTCTTAGAGGAAGTAGAAGAGAATGAATACTTTAATCATTATACTAAAGTTTCAGGTGCTGTGAAAACCAAATGATAAAATGTTTACTCCATTATGTCAGTTTATTAATAAGACAGTTGATTTTATCATAGTCATCTAAATTTGTAAAATTGGCTTATTAGCAGAGATAAGAATGGGTCTAGAGAGGCAATACAATTTCTGCATTGTCCATAGCGTATGGTACTGAGATTTATACACTTCTCCGTTTCTGGTGGAAGCAATTCACTGCACTTGAAACTGAGGTCTTAATCTCAATGGAATTAAAATAAAAAAGATTTGTAGCTCATTAAACCAGCAGTATCATTATATTCAGAACTGAACAGACCTCATCCAATAGTTTGCTGTTCAATACAATAGAAAATGACACCCAATTACAAGTGATACCAAAGGCTCTTGCTTTGTTTTGGAGCAAAAACTCTAATGTACCAGATTGCTCACATCATTCTGATCTTGATAAGTTAATATGCTCTCAATATTTGTAGGCGTTTAGAAAGGGGAAACATATAATGGTGTGTTTAGAGCAAATTAAATACATATTCTTTGTAGCCTCTATAGGAGTGTGCATGATTTGGCCAAGGTAGCAGTCTCATAAGCTACGATTAACACATTTCACATTGTTTTAAGATCATATATAAATGACTTTTATTTTAGTTGTCCCAGACTTAATTAAATTAGTCACAGTTCATAGGCTTACCTGAGGAATTCAGGGGTCAGAAAAAGTGAAAGCTACTTTACCTGGAGAGTTTCTGCTGTGTTCAGCACTTTTTTGGCACTTTGTAACCTAAGGAAAGCAATTTCCTATAATTAAGCTTAAGAAGCAAAGGAAGTGCAGTTGATCAATAAAACTTCGCTCTGGAAAATAAAAATTTTTTTGTTAAAACTCTTTCCTTGGTTTCTTAAGAAAAGCTACTGGGATGTTGGCAACATTTTGGTTCTAGTTTTAATGATCAGGTTGCTAGTGAGCATTTCTTATATTAATTTGAAACAGGAATGGGGGTTAGGAATGTTGTTTTAATGCTGTTATTTGTTCATTTGCTTTCTAAGTTTCTCAGAGAACGCATAAACTTGCATGGTTGCACTAAGTGTAAAATAGTGTGGAGTCCTATTGAAGTTGGGATCCCTGTGGTTCAACCCCAGAGGGATGCCACATTCAAAGGAGCATATTCTCAGCAAGCAAAAAATTGAAAGAATCACATTCTTTACTCAGATCTCTTAAAGAATATTAAAAAGAATGTAATTCATAAGCTCTAGCAGCTTTTCATATCCTTTTTCCTCTCTTTTGCAGTTCTCTTAAACTCCGTACTTTCCAGAACCTAAAACTCTTTCCTCTACTAATAGTCCAAATTTATTACTTACTTAAGCTCTTCCCTTCTTTGTGTTTCCCAGATTGATTTAACTTCTCAATAAATTCTTCTTCCCATTCCCAGGTCTTTTTTGTTTATTCTTTGTATGCACATTTCCTGATTATTCTTTTTTTTTTTTTTTTGGGTGGTACGTGAGCCTCTTACTGTCGTGGCCTCTCCCGTTGCAGAGCACAGGCTCCGGACGCACAGGCTCCGCAGCCGTGGCTCACGGACCCAGGTGCTCCGTGGCATGTGGGATCTTCCCGGACCGGGGCACAAACCCGTGTCCCCTGCATCGGCAGGCGGACTCTCAACCACTGCGCCACCAGGGAAACCCAACAGTCCTGATTATAAAGTCTATGAATTTATCTGGCTGAATAGAATTCCAAGCAGGGTGGAAATTGGCCTAGTAAAGTCAGGGCTCTCTTTTAGCAATATGGGGCAGGGACAAAATTTATGCACCCTTTCATGTTGTTAAATTTATCCTGTCTTGTGTGCCATTGGCATTTCACAGTGAATGGTGCTGGACTCGCCATGGCTACCTGTGACATCATTTTCCTGAATGGTGGGAAGCCAGCCAACTTCTTGGATCTTGGTGGTGGTGTAAAGGAATCTCAAGTATATCAAGCATTCAAATTACTCACAGCTGATCCTAAGGTAACCTCTCTCTTTGTAGGGGAGATTGCATGGCGTAATGATTTCTCACCATCAACATCTACCTTGTTCCTGCTGCTAAGGGTTAATAAGCCAACCCATGTACTTTGCAGCCCCAGGTGCAAATCCTGCCTTATATCTCATTGGAATGCATGATGGTTTAAATCATCTGGGTGAAAGGTTTATAAGTGTCCCTAGGATTTTATTTCAGGGTATGTGCTTACAAAGTTCTAGGAGTTAGAAGGAAATTTTTTTAAAAAGTGTAGTGCAAATAATGAAACATTGGTTGGCATGAAATATTCTTGGGGTCCTTCACAGTGAAGCGATTAGTTCTGCGCTTATGTGACTTAGGACTGAGTCTTAGATTCCTTTCATAAAGATGCTAAAGATATTATAAGATTAAGACAGAAGAAAGTTACAGGCTTATAATATTATATATTACTGGAAAATAATGACCCCACCTCCTTCTATATGCTTTTCAATTTTCATCTCTGACAATTACAGATGTTACAGTTTGTAACATATGCCCTAAGTAGCACATAATGTTGTTTCATGGGCATCTTCTTAACTAGAATGTAGCTATCATACTCATGCTAGGTGCATAGAAGGTATTCAGTAAATATTTAATCAATTTAAATACCAGTGTGGTTTGTTTCCATGGTAGGTATTCAGTTGTCTATGATAACACGATTTAGGTGGATATTATTATATTGAAAAGACTAATATTTTTTGAATATCTGATATATGTCATTTAATTCTCTTCACAGTTCTTTGGGGTAGTGTATATAGCACAACCATATGACTGTAAATTTTATTTGAGAATCATTGTCTTAATATTGTTAATATGTGACACATTCTCTTGGTTCCTGACATATCTGAAGACATGGGAAATCTGAACCATCACTAAGAAAATCATGAATGAAAACAATATCAGATTCTTTTTAAAGAAATGTTGTCTGAACTTAATATGGAAGCTTCCCACTCATAAATAGACTGGCATTTTGGGTCTCATGTGCATGCAGTTTTTTTGTCTTAGGTTAGTGGTATGCTTGTCTGTTTTCATTATGACTTAGTTGGTAACCTTATGTTTTTGCTGTCTTTTCCTTCTGATTCACATACACACACATAAAATTGTTAAACAATATTAGCAACTTATCTTCATTGCTCTAGGGTTGTTCAGGAATAGCAAAGTCACTGAAGTCCAAAGTTACCCAGCCGTGAAGTGTCTGTAGTTGATTTTTCTGTTTACAGAAGCACCTCGTTTTCATTGGTTAAGTAGGAATATTATCAGAGGCTCTGTAATCATTTATTAATTCATTTATCCCTCCTTCCTACTCCTTTCTAAGGGAAGAATAATTTTTATCCCAGGGATTTTCAAACCATTTGAAATCTGTAAATACCATGGACGTAATACACAGCTCTTTAAACTGCTTGAACTACAAAGTACCCAGAGGACAGGCAACTGTAATGAAATACTGTACATTTAGTGAAACTCAGTGCTGAGAATTAAAGAGAACCAACAAAGGATTAAATCTAACAGGACAATCATTGCATTTTCTTTGGAATATCTTTTCTTAGGGGCTGATCCTGAATTTTAATTTCATAAAAGTACAGGAAGGGAATGAAAAATCACTTGGAGAGCTTTTGTTATTTTTGTTTTTGAAAAAAAACAATCTCTTCAAAAACGTTGACTTTACCCTATAGAATATTTTCAAATGCTTGGAGTATTTAAACTTTTTTGAGATTTGACTGTCATCTTGTATAGATAAAAGTATGTGGGAGTTATTTTATTTTTCTCATGCTATATCAGGAAAATGCATGCTTGGCTCATCTCACAGTACATTTTCCAAATCTTGAAATTTCAAAGCCCGTTAAAAAGCATAGAAATGTAATGGGTATTTTCAATCCTGGCACTGTGTCACAGATTTCAGAGAACAGAGGCTAAAAAATAGTATAGATGAATTGATTTCATCTTGCAAGGAAACTGGTTATAGTTCTGGCAGTAATTATTTCAAGTAGAACCCCATCCATTTGCCCAGAAGTAGAGATTCCCGAGAGCCCAAAGCTAATTATTTCAAAGGTATTGATTTTCTTGTTAGATATAAGGATTAGTCAGTTGAATACACTGAAACTCAAAATTACAAAAGGCCTGTTGTTGTTAAACTTAAATCAACTGATACTAACAACTACTTGTTTGTTATATGTACAAGCTAATTCTATTGATCAAGTAATAGGCATCAACATTCAAGGAAAATATTATGGATTGGCATATGTTTCCACTCCTAATGTCAGCCATGGAGCTGAGACTTGTGTTTCTTTCACTTGACCATTAGCCCAAATGCTGATTTTCATTGGGACCTAACACACGTACCTTTATAACTGATCTGTTCCTTATTTGTAATATATATGAAGTGAAGTTCCTCTGCCAAACTGTCTAAAACAAGAGTGTTTACTAGATAGCTTTCTAAACTGGATTCCCATGAAGTGTATCATTAAATATTTTATACTTCTCTTATTTGCCACCTGGGCTTGAGATGAGAGAAAGGTAATAGAGTTTGTTCTGCTGGTGGTAGAATAGATATGATCTCACCCTCATCATTTTAACTTCCAGGATTCTAAACATTAGTGTTCCTAAAATCACAGGGAGTAAAATTGATATAAAATAAAAAATAGAAGTAGGATTTTGTGGTAATCTATAAAGAATTTGAACACATTTAAAGGAGAAACACTATCAAGAATGTTAGCCTTACGTTTTTGTTTTCCTGATTGGTGCTTTGGCTTTTGTTTCTAATTTTAAATTTAGAATTCCAAAGGTGTAGAAAATGAGTGCAACAACATCTGGAGTATGTAAAACGTCTTGCATAAATGAATTAAAGAAAAAGATGGTTGATATGAATCTCAACAGTAACCTCGACTGTATTGTCCGAAGTTAAGCAAATTTGTTGCCCTCGGGAGGCCTGATTTTGAAAAGCAGTAGCATATGATTGGCATTAGTGAAGTCACTTCGCTTGATTTGACTGTGCTTCCTGGTTTAAATCCAACTTAGAGTCAAATTTTCAAAGCCCTTTAAATGTCTAGCAAGAAATGTGCTCTCTAAGCACCAAATACTCGTTTAAGAAGGAAGGGATTCTTGGTGGGGCTCTGGTGCCACGCAGCCTGTGTTGCAGTCGTGTCTTTAACACGTATTGGCTGTGGGACCTTGGGCATGTCATTTAACTTTTTTGTGTCTTGGTTTCCTCTTTTATGAAATGGAGATAGTAACAGTACTTTTTGCCTCAGAGGGTTACTTTATTGCATGAAATGAGATACACACATTTCCAATTTAAAGGGGCAATAATTTCACATGACAGTACAATCTAAAAATTTAATAAACTTTTATTAAAAGTATAACTTACATAGAGGACACTATACAAATCTTAAGTATATAGTTCGATGAATTATGACAAAATGAATATACCTGTGGAACCTCTGACCACATCAAGAAATAGGGCCTGGCCAGCGTCATGGCCTGAATGTGTGTGTTTTCTCATAATTTATATGTTGAAATCCTACCCCACAATGTGATGGTATGAGGAGGTAGGGCCTTTGGGAGGGAATTAGATCATGAGGGTAGAGCCCTCATGAATGGGATTAGTGCCCTTATAAAAGAGACCCCAGAGGGCTCTCCCACCTCTTCCACAGTGTGAGTACATAGCTGGAAGTTGGCTACCTGTATACCAGTAAGTGGCCACTGAATCTGCTGGTGCCTTGATCTTGGACTTGCCAGCCTCCAGAATTGTGAGAAATAACTGTTTGTTGTTTAAACCACACAGTCTATGGTAGTTTGTTATAGCAGCCTGAATGGACTAAGACAGTCACCATCCCAATAGCCCCTTATGCCTCCCCACTATCCTCCCCCTACCCTGCTTTCTTCCCAAAGGTAACACTCTCCTAACTTCTAATATCAAAGATTTGTTTTGCCCGGTTTTGAGCATAATACAAATGGAATCATACATTGTATACACTTTTGTATTTGCCATTCTTCACTTGACTTTTATTTCTCAGATTCACTCATATTTTATGTAGCAGTGGTCCACTTATCATTATTGCTGTATAGTATTCTATGGTATGACTCTGCAAGAACTTTTCTGTCATTCTTCTATTGATAGACATTTGTGTGATTCTTATGTTTGGCTATTATGAATAATGTTGCTGTGAACATTCTCATACATGTCGTTTGGAGCATATTTTTGATACTTGGAACTAGAATTTCTGGGTAGTAGGGTATGCATATACTCAGCGTAAATCGATACTGCCAAACAGTTCTCTAGATGTGGCAATTTACATTCTCATAGGCGTGTGTGGGAAGTCCAATTTCTCCACACCCTCATCAGCATTTTAGTCATTCTGGTAGATGTGAGGTAGTATCTTATTGTGGTTTAATGCCTTTCCCTCATGTGTTTATTGGCTACTTGAATATACTCTTTCAACTTCTGTCACCTCATGTATAAAGTAGACCTGAAAATAATACCCCAAAGCATTGTTTTATTATCATCTAAGATATATGTGGAAGTACTTGGCAAACCTTTCCAAAGCGTGATGAAAACTTTAGTTTGTGTGTTTTTTTTTTTTTTGAGTGTTCATTTTGATTATCATTTTAAAGGCTTAGATTTAGAATTACTGAAACAGCTGGGGAATAAATGGTCGTCTACAGAAATGGGAGCTGTCTGAAACAGTTCATTGTCACCAGTGTTACTGCCTGGGTTGTTTTGAAATTGATGAAATGTGTAAGCAATTCAGTAGCTTGCAGTGATTCTCCCTTCAGACAACCAAGAAAACACAGTTTAATAAAGGGAGGATTAGATTCATGTTTGGGAGAACCACAAAATATAATTTGGTATAACTTTGAGGAGAGGCCAGCTGTTTTAGCTCTGTGGTAAGTGCTTGAAAAGTCTTTAGAGTTTGAGGCCAGGGACATAAAACTGCACACTGTATTTTTGATAAAGGGTTTATGCAAAGGCCTT